GCCGCGAACTTCTGGGGCAGGTCATCCGGCCAAACGGAGGGTCCATAGGTTGCCTGGATCTTTCCATCGTGGCCTGAGCTTCTTTGTTGAGGAAGTCTAGGGCGGTGCCCTTCTCTTGGCCTTCCAGCCAGGGAGGTCGCGTGGCCTGCTTGAAGTCGATCAGGTTGACCTTGCAGGAGGTTCCGCGTGCATGCCCGATCTGAAAATGCAAAATTTACTCAAATTTAAGACGACGTGGGCGAGAAGCCTGGCTCCTCTACTACTGGCGCCCCTGGCCCAGCGCTGGTGGTAAGTCTCCAAATCCCAATGGTCAGATCATTGGGCCTTCAAGGACCCCAACACCAACTTCTGCCGAGACTACCATCTCCATAAAACACGATCCCACAGTTAAGGTGCGTCCTCCCACATCCCTTTGAACAGTATTCCCCTTGCTTGCCAAAGTCCCCGTGGTGGGGGTGCAGTGACGCAAGCGCCTCTTGCGATGGCGCCGCCTTTGTTGGTGCACCAGCATCCGGAACCCCACTACGGACTCAGTACTCTGGTTTCACCACCCCGTCACCTACCCGTGGACCGCTCTGTCGCCGCCTCTTTCAACTCCAAGAAGACTGGCCGGGACGACTGAGGCTACCAGTTGGCAGTGACAACCGTGGCAATGTCTTCAGCCTCTGAAACCTCTTTTTGAAGAAGCCCGCACAGCGGCCATCCTGATGGAACTCGTGCTGCAGTATAGCTCCTATATATCCCTCGTGAATACAACACTTGGGGGCGGATGAGTCAACCCATCCAAATGTTTAATGGTTTCTCGTCGTCGGCAACTCTCCAAGATGCCTGACAACCTCTTTCAATTCTCCATCGCACCCCGCCTACTGGCGGCTGACGCTTTCACCGACTGAACCCCACCCAAGATCCCGTGACCGGATCCGGTGGCGATGGCGGGGCGAGACAGGGTGTGGCTGGCATGGGTGAGAGAATCTGCCTGCCACGCCGTCTGTTATGATTTTCAACGATCTTGACAGTGAACCTGAACGGGGGTCTGCAGATCCTTTGGGAGGTTGGAGGGGATATTTTTGCTTGTGAGTACATCTCTTGATGTTATCCCAAGACCTCTACATCTTTCAATCTGAAGACTTTTCTCAAGACGTCAGCCTTTAAGATCTTTCATGATCTGTCTATTCTCGACCTTTAGATCTCTCGCCTCCACGCGTTAGAACTCTAAGGCCTCCAGATCTTTGGATCTCAAGACCTGACCAGATTGAGACCTCTACACCTCTCAAACTCTAGAGCCCTCTAGAGTTCAGTTCTTGGATCTCACGACTAGATCTTTACTAGAGCTACAGACGTAGACACTAGACATCCAAATCTCTCTCAATCCCAACCTGTCACTGAAACTCAACATCTCTACACAGAACTCTAGATCTGTCTGGATCTGAAGACCTCCAGACCTGTACAAACTTTGAGACTTCATATTTTTGGATCCCAAGACCTCAAGAGCTAAACCTTACCTTTGTGTCTCTAGATCTCTATACCTCTACATTTTTCTTCACTTTTAGAACTGCAATTCTAGACCTCTACATCTCTGGATCTCAAGACCTCAAGACCTCTAAACCTCTGGATCAGACTTCTGGACTTCTTAAACATTCTCAAATTCTAGACCTGCACCTTGACCTCTGGGTTTCTAAAGCTGGAACTTCAAAACCTCTAGAACATTAATAGACCTAGGTGTCTAGGCCTCCAAGACGTTTGGAACCCTGGACCTCGACATCCAGATCTAGATCTTTAAGCCTCTAGATCTCTCTGGATGTCAAGACCTTTCTGGCCCCCACGACCTCTAGACCTCTAGATCTCTGTCGAACCCAGCGCGTCTAGATCCCTACTGTTTCTACACCTCTAGACCTTGCACCTCTAGACGCACTGTTTGGGGTCTCTTGCCCGGAGTAACAATCCAACACATCCTCTCGGTCTCCTTCCTCTGACCGGTCGAGCATCGCCGCAGGCGCCCACTGCGCCCGCCACGGCGGCCGTGGAGGCTTCGGCGGAGGCACCGGCAGCGCCGAGCAAGCTGCCGGCGCGGAAGCGCTTCGCAGCCTCGTTGCTGAGCGCAGCCAAAGACGGGCGCCTGGAGAAGTCCCTGGAGGCACCATGACTGGGGGTCAATCTCCAGTAGATGCGATTATATGGGTTCTTCGGGTGACATCGAAGCTGGATCCCTGCCATGCCAACAGAGCAAGACGTATTTGATGTTTTTGATGTTTTTAAATTTTGATAACCGTTTTAACTACTAAAGGGGTGGTCGAGTGAAAAGGGTTCCTCACTTAGTCGTTGGTTTGCCCAATCGATGCACCGTGCAACAGAAGAAAAGAAAAGATGGCTTCGTTGGTGGGCATGTTTGATTTACGAAGTTTCCTGCTGCCATCGGGGCCTGCTTTGGAATTGTGCATGGTCATTGACCGTTTTCGGGAGGACACTCAGAAAATTGACAGGAAAATTGAACCTCGCCCTAAGATCGGTGATTCTTCCATTACGTAGGACAGTAAACTCCCCGGCCCCAAGATGTTCCTGCGACGTCACGTCTCCCGCCGCGAAGGACTTCGAGCAGATCAACCCAGAGGCTGGACACGGTGAGGTAGGTGGCTTTTGGATTGACCAATGATCAATGCATGTTCAGCACGTCTTGGGAGCTTTAGAAACAACCCACCCTGTCCAAAAAACATATAGGTACTCTATACAGAGAGGTCTACATAGAGTTCTTTTTGGGTGAAGAACTCCCTGAAAAAATCGTGGAAGTGGATGGCATGGCCCCTTGGATGAATGCTTTCCCCTACAAACAGGTGGTTTTCCGGTCTTTCAAGGAGTGTACCGTCAGTGTACCCCTATATTTCTACAGAAACGGTTGGACAGTTGGACATATCTATTTGTTTCAGGGTCAAGGTTCCCTGGGATTCTTTAGTATTTTGTGACGGCAATAAAGTATGGGGTGAAAAAGAGATCGACTACCATTAAGAAAACGCGGACCCAGACAGCAAGGGGTCAAGATGAAAAAATGAAAAACAACAACCTACTCAAAAAAACTCAGACCAGAAACTCAGATTCCAAAGCCACTCAAATGAGAGACTCAAATTGTACTCAGATTGGACTCAAATTGTACTCAAACATAAAAACACAAAACACACCAGAAAACTCAAGGGACGACTCAAGGGACAAGATTATTTTTGTTTTTTTATTTTTTTCAATGATTTCAGCCCTGTCTGGGCACTGCGATGTCTTAAGACTACCAATCGATTAAGAAGAAACAGCAAGAACTCAGAGGGCACCCCAAAAAAATACACGGTTACTGACGTGTCAAACTCTGACAGAAGTATCCGTCATGGGTCAACATGTTTCAGAAGTTGTTTGTGTCCGGCAACTGCAATTGCAACCTTTAATTGTAGGGTGGTTGACACTTGAGTGCTTCTTCAATCCCAACCGTAGAATCTCCAGGTATCCTACCTAAATGACTCAGAACTCAGCCTACTTCAAGCCTTTTCCTGATCGTTGATCTAGTTCTGGTGACTGGCGCTACAAATTGACGATGCCACCCATCCAAAAAGTGACACCTGTCTCCGAGAGACAGTGGACCAAAAGGCTGCTATTCCGCTCCCAGACTCTCCATGGGGCCATCGTCTGCCGCCCCATTGACTCCCCTGGCACCACCATCCCTGGCCGTTTCTCGGCAGTCCAACTGGCAGTCCCATGGAGTGTGGGGCCTGGAATCCGGATGTATACGGCTTCCAACAGTTCCACCGTGCTTCCAACGGTTCGGTGCCCTCGCCTCCAGGGCTGAAGCCGATGCCGAGAGCCCAGCGGGCCCGGTCGAGACAGACCGGCGTGACGCACGGAGAACCGAAGCGAAACATCCATTGACCGTCGACCAATGATCTGAACCCATCTGGTCCAAAAAGGATATGGTATAATAATATTTTGGGGAGGCCTTTGGGTTTGATATGTTATAGTTAAATTAATATATATGTTGGGGGAGGCCTTTGGGTTTGATTGGGGAGGACTAGGGAGATGGGTGGGATGGTGGGACGTTAGTGTGTTTGTTATCTGTTTCTTTTTGTTTCCGGTGATTGTTAGAACGGTTTTACACAGCGGGTCAACGTTGGATCAACCCTGACTTTGAGGCTGGCTGCTGGTTGGCTTTCCATTTTGGATTTTGACATGATGTCAAGTATGACCTACAGTACCCAAAGCTTATCAACGTTTGCTTGTAGCACAGCAGACCAGGGTCCCCATTGAGGAATTGTGGTTTGAGAAGCAATTCCCTCCTTGACTGTATGTTTGATTATTTTGTACTCATGAGTTTGAAAGGTGACTAGAGATCGCCCCCCGAATACGGCCCTTAAAAGAGTTGGTAGGACACTTTCCTCGCGCGTGTGTTCGTGTGTTTCGAAGGGTTTTCGGACCACGGACCACGTCCCTTCCGTGCTGAATCCCATCCTTCTGTCAACCAGCGAGTCGTTGGCGTGTGACCGGACGGTCCCCAAAGCGCGCGGTGAGCGATTCTCAGACCCCCCGCGGTCGCGGGTCGCGAGGGAGGGAGCCCCTCCAGTGGTCCAGTGGTCGCCTCCTTAGGAACACCCAAAGGAACAGGTCACTGGGCTTCCAGGGTTTTTTCTCGTCGGAGGCGTGTCCGGGGTCCAAAGAGGTCAGGACCTGGTCGACCAGGTTCTATGGATCGGTGAGCCTTGCTCCGCTGGTGTTCTCTCTTGCTCAAGATCTCACAGCTCTCAACGCACAGGTGAAACGAAGAGCGAAGCATTTGAAGCGTGTTGAAGTGCGTGATTTGATCGCAGTTCAAGCTTGATCGAACCACCCATGCTCGCATCTCAAGACACCGAAACCCCATCACCTTCAGATCCTTTGAAGAACCTCTTCCTTCCCAGAGCGACCCGCCTCCCTTCGCACTGAACCATCAAAAAAGGGAACCATCACAGGAGAAAATCCTCAAGCCACATCCACCCTCACCACCCAAAGAAGTGAGCACCGCGCCCCTCATCCACCCTGGACCGTCGAGCACGCCGGGTCTCGAGCCTGGCAGTAGACCTGAGGACGCCCGTTCCGATTGGGAGATGCGACACGGTGAAATGGTTCATTGGGAGATCCCAACCAAAAACGACACGCCATACATGCGACCACTCCGTTGAGGACTCCAGTGAGGATGATGGTTTTCGAAGGGAGGAAGAGTGAGGGGGCGTGCCAATTTGCAGTGCCTTCGAAGGTTGGGATGGACGTGGTGCCCCCAAAACGTACGCCGTTAACATCTCCAAACGTTCGAGTTCAGCATCAGCATGGCAAACAAAGGTGGGAGTCGGTTCCGGTGGGATGGACGTCAGCATCAGTGCCACCGCCCGCCTTGGGCTGACCCCTCTTGGCCCGAAAAAGGTGGTAGATGCGTTCTCCATCTGGAGAAGATGAGATGCTGCTGCGTGGAGTTGAAGTGGGTGACCTGACAATCATACTGTATACCTCGATTGCTTAATTATATGCTTCCTGTAGCGTTTGTTACGCACCAAAGCCAGCATCCAAATGAGAAGAGTGCCGACGCCTGTGGGCACCAAACCCGTTTTCGCCATATAGCATATGACTATCGCCCCGAATTTAAAGATGAACACCCCCTTAATTTGA